ACAACAGACKTAGGTCCCCAGACCAGGGATGATCTGTGTGGAGTCACTGTGTATGATACTCCCTGGTGCCTACTGATGTTCTGCAAAAGATTTCAACTTTACTGCTCTCTGAGGGCACCAGCATTAGGTGTCCTAGCAAACAGTAACACCACTAGACAGTAGTGATGAATGGAGTTAAATCTAGCTGGTGACCAGTCATGAGCAGTGTTCCCKAGGGCTCAGTGCTGGGGCCAGTCTTCTTTGATATCTTTATTGACAATTTATATGGGGGCACCCTCTCTAAGTCTGCAGATGACACCAAGCTGGGAGGAAGAGTTGATCTGCTGGAGGGCAGGAAGGCTCTGCAGAGGGATCTGGACAGGCTGGATCGATGGGCTGAGGCCAGCCGCGTGGGGCTTAGCAAGGCCAAGTGCCAGGTCCTGCACTGCAGTCCCCACAGCCCCGTGCGGCGCTGCAGGCCTGGGGCAGGGTGGCTGGGGGCTGCGCGGCAGGAAGGATCTGGGGGTGCCGGTCGGCAGCCGGCCGAGTGTGAGCCAGCTCTGAGCCCAGGGGGCCGAGAGGCCATCGGCCTCCTGGGGTCGGGAACAGGGCAGCCAGGAGGGCCAGGGAAGGGATGGATCAGTAGTGAGGCCACTCCTCGAATACTGTGTTCAGTTTGGGGCCCCTCACTACAAGAAGGGCACTGAGGTGCTGGAGTGTGTCCAAAGGAGGGCAACGGAGCTGGGGAAGGGGCTGGAGCGCAGACYTYATGAGGAGTGGCTGAGGGAGCTGGGGTTAGTTAGTCTGGAGGCTTCGGGGAGACTTCATTGCTCTCTATAGCTACCTGAAGGGAAGATATAGTGAGCTGGGGGTCGGTCTCTTTTCCAGAGTAACTACCAATAGGACAAGATGAAATGGCCCCAGGCTGCATGAGGGGAGGTTCAGGTTAGACACCAGGAAGAATTTCTGCATGGAAAGAGCAGTCAAGCACTGGAAGAGCTGCCCAGGGAAGTYGTGGAGTCACCGTCCCTGGCAGTGTTCAAGAAACGTGTAGAGGAGGCACTTAGGGACATGGTTTAAGAGGCATGGTGCTGGTTGGATTGATGATCTTGAAGGTCTTTTCCAACCCTAGTGATTCTATGATTGGCTTTTATGGGATTGCTAAAGCAGCCAGCAACTAGGGCAGAATCAGATTTGCAGTAAAATAAGAGGGCTTATGATAYAGAAACCTTCTTTTTACTAGCATGAGAGTGAAACCAACACACTATATACCAACACACTATCTATAGTGACAAACTGTCAGGTAGTAACAACTTGTATGCAATGGTTAAGTAAAAGGAAATATCATACATCTTCACTGTCATAAATTATTTACATGCGTACAGATTTATGCAGACTTTTCTTTTTTGTTCTTTTTTTTTATAAATCAAGACCTTCATACCCAGACCTTCATTCATTTTGATATGCGCTATATTTGTAGAAGTTTGATTTTAGTTCCCTTTCATGGACACAATAAAAACTAACCACTCAATAACAAATAAGAAAAGTAAATATTTTGCAATTGAGCTGCATTCATCCTATAGACAATTATTCAGCTTTTAGAAAACTGTCCCAGAATGATAAGAAATTTTTAATGAATATCGTTTATTTAATGTACAATTTATATTCTAGATCAGTCAATACCATGACAGAACAAAATCAGAATCTGAAAGTCTTTTGTACAGCTAGATTTTGTAGAATAAAAAGTGTGTGAATATACACTTAATCAAATTAGTGGAAAATAAGCTGAAGGTAACAATATTAAAATAGCCTAATAATTGGTCCCTGATTCTCATTTTCATGAAAAAACAGCACCTCAATAATTTAAAAGGGCATGAAGACAAAGCAAAAACAATTTTGCTTTTGCTTTGCTTTCCCCAAAGTAAAGAAATAATATACTTTTGTGTCTACTGCTTCTTATTTTTTATTTAAAATGCAAGTAATATTTCTCCTGAAGTAATAAATAAAATGAGGCTAAGTTTTAAAAATACAGATGCTCTGTATCATGGCCAAATTAAATTATTATAATACACAGTGTATTTGCAATTCACTTCATGGACAGCAAGTTAGTTGCTGACTTTACAATTCACTAGTAGCRATGTGCAGTATGTTGAAGTTGGCAATCCAACATGTCATGTAAATACTATTTTTAGCAGGATTGCTTTTGGTGTTTTGTTTTGGGTTGGCTTTAGAACAGAGAAATTAGTGGTGACCTACTGATAATGTTCTTATTGCATTGCCAAATAAAAGTTAAGGACATCACTGATGACCTGAGATGCTTCCTCCCGAAGGCAGTGCAACAAAAGCATTGTAGATATTTGAAAACTGCACTGTATCACGTACATCAACATTACACTCTTTCCCTTTTTTTGTCTTTTTCAATTAAAATGACCATGGGTAGGTTTGGGAAGAATTGTCATCCAGTCCTATTTAACCAGGAAGATAGCACCCTCGTATTTCCTAAGTGCATGTAAGAAAATGCACATGCATTTCAGAGCTGTATTTCTAACCCAGTCCCACACGCTTTGCTTAGGAAGGCTGATGTATCTCTCAATAACAAGGTCCCTCTGGYGCTAGCAGAGAAAAGTCCTTCTGAGCAGAGCAACTGCTGGTGTTGCACAATATATAAATACAAGTATGCAGCGAAAATACAGCAGCTCTTCTACTGCTTTTCTATTGACTATGTTATTACTCATTTAATTTTTGAGACATGATGGAAGTGCAAATAAGYGCTGGGTATACTTTTGGTATCTTTTTTTTTTTTCTGCAAAGACTTGCTTCACGATTTTAAATTGACAACCATATACACTTATGGGGAAAGACTGAAAAACTCAGAACAGCAAGCTCAGATTSCTAAGTTTCACATTACAGCTCTAAGAAGGAGACTTGTAAATGTGGAAGAGTTGCTTAACGGTTACATCTTCAGGTAGGTCACAAAACGTAAAGTYTAAATTTGCTAAATATGGGATATGTAACCATTAAGCCCTGTTTTATAAAACACTAAGAGGAAGGAGGATTGTGCAAGCTTTATATTTACAACTATAATGAGCAAAGCTGTGGTGAAATAATCTAGCTCCGAGAAGTTCTGTTAAATACTACTATATGGATTATACTAAAAAATAATATAGAGATTCACTCAACTGATACTATGAAACTCTTGATAAAAACCTCAGCCACAGAAAAAGAAAKCCAGTTAGAAAGGGGAARAYACAGAAAAAAWAATATTCTTCCTTTAAGTTTTAAGGGAAAAAAAGTATTAAAATTTTATTTTATGCTCCAGGACATTGTATTTGATTCTATATCTGCTATTTTTTTTCCACCATCTGTGTTTCCTCTTTAGGTGTAACACAGAGCCTTAACGTTCTTCTTCTCTTTGTCAAAATTTGTGCTGAGGGACTTCTTTAAGTTCACCAATACTGCCTTAAATATGGTTCCCTTAATAGTAATACCACATCTTAAAAGCTGGACTGGGAGGGACATGTACCTTTGCTGATTAGTAAGGTAARCTTTATATTAATGTAATTTAAATACATGTCATAATTCTATATTCTTGGCCTGTTATTTTCAGTCCATCAAGTGATCCTGTGAACAGTGAGTCAGTACTTGCAGCAAGCACAGGTCAGATCAGCACTGTGGTGGTGGTGGCAGAGCCCAGAAATCACAAGCTTGGGACAACTTTCTAGAGTTTTTTTTTGTAGGGTGTTTTTTTTCCCCTCTTTCTTTCTGGTCTCATTCAGAACCACTGCTTTCATTTCCAGCCAGTGTGGACTCTGAACAAATGCCCAAACTTTGGTAAACTCTGTCCACAGAGGTCAAACGAGTTCCTTCCTACACATATGTCATTTTCCCTCGCTTCCATGTGCTGATGAATCACTGCCGGATCCTTCTCTTTCCCCAAAATAGTCTGGAAAGGGGAGAAAAGAAAATATGACCCAGAGCACTGAAATTCCCCGCTGCGGCAGGAGAGCGCCAGCTCCTCCGGCTGCCCAGCCGGTTTTCTCTGCTGGGAGCAGAGAGCACTGAGGGCAGCAAAACAAACCTCCGGGTGCCGCAACAGGCTTGTGGCGGTGCTGCTGACCACGCCGCCAGTCACACAAATCACAGCACGCTGCAGCGCGCTCCCCGAACCCCAAATCACACAGAAACGGCGAGACCATGGGGTTTGGGAGCAGCASTTCACATGAAATGTGTGGTTTTGGCCAAGCTCTAGCCTAGTGCTGGCCTGCTGCTCCTGAGGAYGCCTGGGTCTGGCAGCCCTGACGCGCTAAGGTACCATGTCCTAGTGGTTCTGTTCTCATCAGCGTGTTGTGGATTTAGGATCTGCACCTCCACAGGCTCCTGCTCCGCAGCTCTTTCCAGAAAGTTTCCAGTCAGTTGACTCCCTTCKAAGCATTATTAGTGCTACACACATGCACTGCTTGAAGCAAAGTGTGCGAAGGTGAGAATAAAAAATATATTACTGTACTGATACTGTGCATTTTTTTTCCCTTGAAAATATATTGGACATATCATAGTAATGTGGGTATGCATTTTGTTAGGTAAAAATATCAAAAATCTTAATTGCATGTAAAAACATAGTGCAATTTTCACCACTGCCTGGGTCTCAGGATTTAAAACAAAACATTTCTGAATCCCTAGGTTAACTCTTAATTTCTTAAACTTAATACGTTCAGATGAAATGATTCTGTGGAAATCCATCTCAAATTTAATAGTTATACAAAATTATTTAATTTTTTTTTTCTTTCATGTTAACCTTTATTACCTCTTAAATATTTAAGGCAAAACATTTAGTTTATAATAATGGTAACCATGATAAAAGCATCAATTACTTTTGCTCTACACACTCAGCATATAGGGAGAAATAAAATGTTAACTGCTGCATTACAAAACTCACAGATCCCGGAAATTATAAACACATCTTTCAAACTTGTTATGTATTATTACATCTTTTGGCCATTAATTGCGCAAAAATAAACACTTACTACTGTGCACAGTCGATGAGCTGGTATTCGTTTGACCTCTCGAAACACGCCTTTACGCCTTCGTCGTCCCAGAGCTTTTTGGCATGTTCAAAGAACTCCTGAAAATTGGAAATGCAACAAATAAGAGAACATTTCTCAATCTTTTCAACTCTCAGCCTAAATCTGTTCCTTCTTCCCCCAGCATTCATGGTTCCTCCTTCCCCCAAAATTCATGCTTCATAATTTGGCAGAATGAGAAACGGCACCATTATAGACGGAAAGCAAGAAGCATTTACTAGCAACATTAGAGCAAAATACCCTGGGCGGATGGTTGCCAACACTGTTCCTAGTACAGCACATGCAACCAAGACTGCCCTCAAACTTCACACGAGGCCGGGTGTAAAATTTACCAGCAGTACAAGTGCTACCTAGAAGCAGGCTCACTTAATTTTTAATTGATTCATGTTTCTGTTACGCTAAGGGCATTGAAGTGATGAAAAAAGCCACTCAGTTTATCAATAGCAGGTTAGCAGAGAAAAGAATCAGTCCGTAACTTTTGAACGACGGTGTCATTTCCCTCCAAACCAGGACTTCTGCATTTGCTGACGCAACCTACTGATTTGCCGGCAGGAATTCCAGCCTCTTTGCTCCTTGGTGCTTYCTCCACGTGGCCGCCTGGCAAGGCGCCCTCTTCCCAGCAGCTCTGCTTGCAACCCGGTTCGGGTGCTCGTGCCGGCGAGCTGGTTTCAGGGTCATTGGGAAGGGAACCAGGGCCTCAATGATGGCAAAGGCCTAGCTGGGTTGTACGGCACAGAGCCGCAGCTGCAGCGCTGGGTGCCCCTCTTGCTGCTCTCCTGCTGCAGGACAAGGCTTCCAACTTTCCTCCTCCTCCAAAGCTGCAGTCCGATTCTCCAAGTCAGAATAAAAAGCCAAACCACAGCTAAATTCTTCCCGCTAAAGCTTTATGAAATCAAACCAAGGACGGTCAAACAAATTAAAAAAAATATGCATCCTTATTTGCAGAATGAATCTGTGTTTTGTCCAAACTGAAGTATTGATGTAACATGTCAACTTAAASACAGAAGTTGGTTGTAATGTCTTAAAAGCTTAAAAAGTCTACTAAATCACAGATCCTTTTGGTCAGGCACAAATTTACAAAACACAACTAAGAACTTATTCACCGTACATTTTGCCTATGTGTAAAATGACTATAAAAACCACCACTCTGTTGAAATATTCTGTAAATGTCCGAAATCTGCAGTTTTCTGTAAACTTGGTATTTAGTTGACACAGTGTGTTTGACAGTTCTCCACATCGTTTTAGGATTAAAAACTTGTCTCAAGTAACAATGTTCCTGGCAAAAGAGATGCTGGTAATGCTGTGCCTTGGGGCTTTTAATCCCTGATCCTGTCTCCATGAGGTACCACCAAAGGCTGCTCTGCTCTTCAGGAACTGACCGCCAGCTGCTGACAATGCTTTTGGGGAAAGGAAAATGCAGAAGGAGAAGATTTTCGGAAGAAAATGCCACCGGAAACCATGGAAGATACATTTTTAAATTAAGTTTGAACATGGCTATGGTGGTGCCTAATAYACACAGAAATGCGGGGTTTTCTTATGTTTTTCACATATCGTGTGAAATGTGAAGGGAACAAACCCCACTCTTTTAAAAGCTTTAGTGAAAAGATGTTGAAGTGGGTGTCTTGACAGAAAATCTTAGAGAAAAGGAGGAAACACTGCTAGAGATTGGCAGAAGCTTATACTGCCCTTGGAATTTCTTCTTGGGCACTGCGGGGACACGTTTATTTTGTTTTTGTTATTTTAACAGCTTATGTAAGGATGGCTTCAAACGCTGCTGATCCACGTTCTGGAGTTACACTATGACTAGTGTCAGCTCTCCTTCCCCACAGTAGCAAGAAAGCAAAGACAAGCTCATCAAAGGTCAAGACAGTGAATTTAAGAAGTCGAAGGCCAAATGTGACACATGTAATGGAGAGCACTTCTGCAGAGGAGAGAGAATTTAAAAAAAAACAAAGAATGGTCCAAGTGGAGCCAAGTCATAATGACTGATATGATAAAACCCAGAGTCTTCTGCAAACCTGGCGGTGGCAGAGGCTGCCTCTCCTTYGGGAGGGATAGACTGAGAGACAGCCGCAAAGGGGAACAAACAAATAAATAAATTAAAAAAAAAAAATCACGGCTGCAGCAGCTTCCAACTTCTCGTCTGTTCTTACATCCTCTCTCCGAGCCTTACTTACACATAAAATCTCGTCTGGAAAAAGGGAAATTTTCAGTGAAAACAGCTCGGTTCCCAAGACCCTACAAATATGTTGCAAACACCTGATTTCCATGTTGTAGGCTTCAAATATTTCCACCTGACCACCACCTCTCAAAGCAGCCTGTTCCAAAYGACTTCCAGACCTCCAGCCCAAAGCAAATCCTACAAAGCCGAGCAAATATCCTTCCCTCATTAAAATGTACCGATCTACTGCAGAGGAGTACACTTGTCTGCAAATTGCCTCCCACACAGCTACCCGATCCTTTTTTCCCAGGTGACTAAAGCCTTCCAGAAAAATCCTGCTTCATTTCAAGACACTGAGTTCCTCGATCCAACTTCTCACACTGCCTTTTAACCCCTTCTCTCCTACTGTATTCTCTTACTATAGCAGCCTCAAATTCCACAACTGGGCACCCTCTGCCCAACCTGCCATCCGGACATGGTGTCCAGATGGATGCCACCTGCTCCCAGAGCCAGGGCTGCCTGGAAGYGCCAGAGCTCCCGAAAGGCTGGAGAAGGCCGATTTGCTCCTGCAAAACGTGTTTCTCCACTTCTCCTCCTCGGGGCAGGTCCTCCTTGGAGCAGAGGGCCCACATGCAGAACCTGACTGCAGATTAACGCAGCACAGGCCTCGCAAAGACCACGTCAACCTCRAGTTGTGACCTTAGTGGTGTGAGTTCCTAGATGCCCAAGCTTAGGAAGCAAACAAACAAACCCCACCACACCATGACATATCCATAAAAACAAAACGGAGTTGTTCCATCAAAACTTCACCTTAGAGATAGAGGCGCACAAATATTTACATCTATTAGTATACCTATAAACTGATAAATGTTAAATTTTGAGGTACTATTTTAATATGAATGCTAAAGAAGCAAGCAATGATGTCTCGGGTCTCCTGAATTACAGATATGTTATACTTGACAAATTAATTTACATTGGTAATCCAACYATCTATAGAAAACATTAGGGTATATGAATATCAAAATTTTGATGTGATCAGAATGAAAATGTGATATCCAGTATCTCCTTTTTTTTATTTTTTTATTTTTTTTTTAATGAATATAGACGTATCTGGAGCTTTTCTCCTTCCTGAAGACACAATCCAGAAATATCCCCCAAGTTTCTGGGCTTCCTTTTCACCTGCATATAATTTTTGCTCTACATATATATTCATATGTCATCTAAAAATGATTAAGTGACACAAACATGTTATGGCTCCTTTTCTTTTTTAAAATATGAGTTTAAGATATACATAAATGTATATCTATTACATCAGTTTGGAGTGCTTATAATCAGGAGTATATTTTTTGCTACAATTTGAAGTAATGTTGTARGGATCTTCGTGTGCACCCAGTTCCACAGATACTTTCAAGTTGATATAAAAGAGGAAAAAAATACATAGAGCAAAGGACAATGCAGCGCAACTGAACCTCCAAAGCACTCTTGTCTACTTTATCCTAACAGAAATTACAGCATGTACTTCAAACTTAATTTTCCTTATTTTGGAAATAAACTTGTTTATTGGTTTGTTACCTTAGAAACCTCCTCCCCCTTGAAACTCTTTTTTTTTCCCCCAAGTAGCTAAAAAAATGGAATTGTTTCATTTCTCAGCTGTCTAAATAGGGAATAAGAATTAGTAGAGATTAAACAACTGCATATCTTTGTGAACAAATCTTTTTGTATTTTGGAAACAGACAGAGATTAAACAACTGCACATCTTTATGAACMAACATTCTTATATTTTGGAAACAGAACTTTTCATTTAACTCCTTTACAAACTACGAAAGTTCGTGTTAGGTCAGTAATACAATTTTTATTCTATCAAGATTCCTTCCAGTCTCCCTTCCAGATGGAACATACATTTTAATAGCTATCCTGATGTCACCCCACAGCCTCCCAGGAACTGGGATGTGGAAGCTGCCACAGTATTACTTATTTTATGTATTCCTTCAGTTGCAAACAGAATTGCACCGTAAACCTGCAAGAATTTGGTTAGAAAAACATGAAGCTCAATTTCCATCAAGCCCAAATTCATGCTCCCATTCTCCCACTCTTCAGGCCAGGCTTGTGAAATAATTTTTATCTAAAGTGCCATTTGAACTTGCCTTTACTAGCATGATAACTACTGAAAAGAAGTGTAACTAAAGTGACAAATGTTAAGCATGTTCATTCTCCTAGCACTGGTGGGAATTAGGATTCTATTCTACTCTGAATTACAGCTACTACCTTTTGCTGCCTACTTGGCCAAACACAAGCCAATGCTAAGACCTCCCAAATTTCCCACAGCTCCCRCAGCCCCATGTGCGGAGGCCCGCGGCGATGCAGCCGGATGCGTGAGCAGCGCCTGTGCCGGCGCCCTGSCGCCTGGCGGGACGGCCTTGGCGCTTCCTCCTTGCGCTGCGAGCCGGGAGGAGGCCCGCTCTGCTGCCACAGGCCACAGGCAGCATTTCACAGCATCACAGAAGGGCTGAGGTTGGAAGGGACCTCTAGAGATCACCTAGTCCAAGCCCCCTGCTCCAGCAGGGACACCCAGAGCACGGGGCACAGGGCGGCATCCAGGCGGGTTTGGAAGATCCCCAGAGAWGGAGACTCCACAGCCTCCCTGGGCAGCCTGTGCCAGGGCTCTGTCACCCTCACAGGGAAGAAGTTCTTCCTCACATGGAGATGGAACTGCCTGTTTCAATTTGTGCCCGCTATCCCTTGTCCTGTCACTGGCCACCACTGAGAAGAGTTTGGCCCCATCCTCTTTACATTCTCATTAGATTCTACAATCCCTTAATCATCTTAGTTGCCCTCCGCTGGACCCTCTCCAGAGGCTCCACATCCCTCTTATACTGGGGA